TGGCCCTACTGGCACACACTCATGCGTATGCCGTTGAGTTTATCTATATGTGCACGCACATGTGTGTATACATATACAATTTTATTACATATGCAAAATTAGGCAATCTATATGTACATATATGTGTGTGCACTCACTCCTATGACATAGAACGACAGTGCAGGCTATGTAAAGTCGCATCAATGTGTGTCACCCGGGTGTGTACATGCATGCGCGCTCGCGCGGGCGTTTTGTGTGCGCGCCTGGCATGGCATAACGCAGTTCAGTATGACTAGTGTTGAACAGTGGTAATTTGCCCCCACCCCCTCTTTTTTTCTGCTGGTGTTGGATATGCAACTAATGACATAAACTCGGTTGTTGAAAACGAGTGCCATGCCGCACCACAATGGATTGACAATAATATAATACAAGTAGCACTGCAAAAGCGCTGGTAATACTAAGTCTTATGTTGCAGCCATGGCAGTTGTGAGTAGCTTTCCAAGTCAAGCCTGCTGCAGAAATTATTGCACTCTGACCAGCTGGAGTGGCCCAGGACTGCCAGTTGTGGAGAACAGGAGTTATGCTTGTTTATACGCTTGTATTTACATGATGTACACAGTGTACTTCGAAGTAACGTTAGGTGTATTACTTGTGTGTTCTTCTGCCTGTGCGAATGTACATGTGCTGGTCAGTGTGGAACCGCCATCCATATCAGATCATACAGCTGCTATCAGTCTCAACAGCTTGTATCTGGCAAATAGGGTTTTAGTGACTCGATTTTGCTTACTGTGTTCAACAGAGTGGCATTGCACACAGCTACTTGATGTAATAGTAGCATCTTGGAAATTTTATATTTTTGATAGTTAGCTTCAGTAGAAACTTCTCCAGTGTGGCTCTTAGCTTCATTACCACGGAGACCGGCTAAGCATTCAAGTAATGCACGAAGAACAGTTGCTAGATGTGAAGTGAAAAGCCATTGGACCGTACCCCGTGGAATACGCATTGTATAGAAGCATGTCTTGCTATGTTGGCAGCAAACACTGTATTATAATAATTACATTACCAGTAGAAAGTGCCCAATGTGCATTGCTTTAGCACTATGTTTTGGACAAAGCAGTCAACAAATTCCACATCACTATCGGCTTCGTGTTGGAGAAAGTTGTGAAAAACACTAGAGCATACATGTACACTCAATACACATGCTCAGCTACATGTATGGCATTTAGTATGTGGGCGACTTCAAAGTTCTATTTTGGTAGTTTGCTTCGGTAGAAACTGTCTAAACTTGATCCAAAGCTCTACTACTATGTTCTGAAGATGTTGCAATCAAGTAATGTAAGACACGTATCTGCCGCATTGGAGCTAGTTGTGAAAACCTTTAGACCATACACTCAATGCACATGCTCAGCTATGGCATTTAGTATGTGGGCGACTTCAAAGTTCTATTTTGGTAGTTAGCTTCGGTGGAAACTGCTAAAACTTGATCCAAAGCTCTACTACTATGTTCTGAAGATGTTGCAATCAAGTAATGTAAGACACGTATCTGCCGCATTGGAGCCAGTTGTGAAAACCTTTAGACCATACACTCAATGCACATGCTCAGCTATGGCATTTAGTATGTGGGCGACTTCAAAGTTCTATTTTGGTAGTTAGCTTCGGTGGAAACTGCTAAAACTTGATCCAAAGCTCTACTACTATGTTCGGAAGATGTTGCAATCAATTATTGTAAGACACGTATCTGTCATATGGTGGAGTCAGGGGTTCTAAGGCGTTGGACAATGTCCCAGTGCAATGTGCTGATTCTTGAAATATGGCATCACTTGAAACTTCAAAGTTTTATTTCACGAGTTACCTTCGGTAGAACCTGCTCAAACTTGTTACACAGTACCATTATTAGGTTATGATAGCATAACGATCGAATACAGGGCAAGTCCAGTGTCAAATACTTGTGGGCGGGGCTAATATGTGGGACGTGTGCGCTGAAATGGGATGATTCCGAAAAGAGAAAAAAGGTCACCTTCTCGCAGAATTCTACCCACTTCTACAGCTTATGCTGATATTTAGCAAGTATACTACTGTCCTGATGTTGGACATCAAGAAAAAGGGGGTAACTACCGGTGCTACGGCCAAAAAAGTGGTTTTCCGGTATTTTTTGGCCTAAATTGGCAATTGTGAGTATGCTATGTTTGGCCCCTCCCTCGAGTGAAACCGGCCGGTAGAACTTGATAAAAATTTGTCTCCGTACACTAGATATCCAACGGAACAAAGTACAATCGTTTGTAGCCACGTTTCAAACAAAAAAAATTTGGACCCGAGGGGTAGGAGCCACCTTAATCATGTCATGTTTTCCTCTTTTGCTACGCTTGAGTAGCTCTGCCATAGCGACAGTTTGCCTAGATCATCAGTCAATACATAAAAATACATTGTACATGTACATGTACATGTAAAAAATGAAATCAAACTGAGGTTCCCGCATCTGTCTACATCTACCAGGCCCTAGCTAGGTGAGTCTCCATCACTGTAACATGGTACTTTATACAGTCAGAAAGTGAATAGGGCTTGAAAGTGCTACGTCACAGCATAGCAACAATTTCAAAAATTCAAAAACTGGATCCACTTGGATCCAGTTTTTGTATGGATCCAAGCACATTTCAAGCGGTCTTACCCACAGCATGGTGATGTAGCCAGTGAAACTGACCGATTTGGCTACTGGGGGCGGGGTTACAACTGGTGGCGAAATAAAAGTCACACCTGCATGCGACATGAGTGGGTTGCTATGCACCCACATACTTAGGCAATAGCAAAGTCACACCTTAGTGGATCCAAAAATAGAAATCTGATGTCAACTTACTACTCCCTGGCCGTTTTGACGTCATCACTTTCAAGCCCTATAACTAGGCACAAAACTGACAGAGTACTGAGACATTCGACGCCCTGAGTTTTGTGCCTAGTTATTGCACTTTCTGACTGTAAAAATTATCAGGTTACAGTGATGGAGAGTTACTCTTAACTCGTATCCATAATGTCTTTTTCCTTTCTACATTTATTTATTGCTCAACATGGTTGTCACTGCGGGCCAAGAGCCTAATTGTCAAGTCGCTGGTGCAAGCATGGCGTCTACTGCTGTGGAGGAGTTGCTGTTAACCCAGGAAGAGGCTGACACCAGATTGCTCCTTCATGCAAGGCATGCAGCTGTCAGTGGGTATGAGGCCGTTCTGATAAGAACACCAGATACCAATGTTGCCATCATTGCTTGTTCTGTTAGCCATGTTATGCCGTGTACGTTGCTGGTGGAGGTTGGTGCAGGCAACAACCGGCGTACAGTCAACATGACCGCTATTGCAGAGAAGCTCAGTGCCGATGTTTGCAATGCTCTGCCCGGCTTACATGCATTCACTGGTAGCCGTTCCACCAGCGCGTTTGCCTTCCGTGGGAAAAGTGCTGCCTTCAACATTGTCCGTGGTGGAAGGCAGTACAAGCACCCTTCATACCTCGACATTGCCTTGGAGTGGAAGAAAATTCACCATGAGTTTTCCAATTCGCTACAATCGATCTCGGGGTGATGATCGTGTCTTCATCACCACTGTAGCCTGGACAGCCTTCGGGAAGACATGTGTCACTCTCCTGCTCAACAGATTCCTTCATCTAGATTTGGTTACCGTCAGGGAACGAAATAGAGCTGCAAACCATCAAAGTAATTGTTTTCTTCCATTCAATTACACTGCTGAGCATGCAGTGTAATTGATGTTGAAGGCAGCACTTTTCCCACGGAATGCAAACGCGCTGGTGGAACCTCCACCAGCAACGTACATGGCATAACATGGCTAACAGAACAAGCAATGATGGCAACATCGGTATCTGGTGTTCTTATCACTTGTTATCAGAACGGTCTCATACCCACTGACAGCTGCATGCCTTGCATGAAGGAGCAATCTGGTGTCAGCCTCTTCCTGGGTTAACAGCAACTCCTCCACAGCAGTAGACGCCAAGCTTGCATCAGCCGACTTGACAATAATATTATGCACTCTTGGCCCGCAGTGACAACCAGTTCCTTGCCTGGGGGCACCTTGTTCAGGTTGTCCGGGAGCTGCCACTGCACCAGCAAAGAATGCCACAAGCTCCTCTTTGTTGCTACCAACTGATAGGTACTTAGAGAACTGCTTTGGCGTGCTCTATTTCCCTCTACATTTTCCTCTTCGCCATACATACATGTACATGTACATGACCATCCATTAGATCACCATTGGTCACAAACTGCTCTATTCATTTCTAACGCTTTTCTAGTAATAGGCTTTATAGATGTCACATGTACACCATGGTACACTGGTCACCAATACCGTTATGTATTATTATATTCGTACAGTTGTCGGTGTATGCATGCATATTAAATTTATTTTAGTTACATATGCACAGTAATGTACATGTATAGTTGCAGTAGATCTGATTTTATAATTCACCTTTGAGGCCCTGAAGTTTATTTGTTTTCAGTCAAACTTGGCCAACCAGTCATACATATTGGATATGTTTATATCCAGCAGGAATTTTGTCAAAATATCGCATAGTTCTCCTGTAAATTTGAATTAACTGGTTTGTTGCCATGGCAGCCATCATCAATTCTTTCTACCTTCATTGTATGACCTTCCAGATGGAAATTTTGATTGAATCTATTCTTGCAGCATTTTGAAGATACTTGACATTCAAATCGAAAAAACTTGGTGCCCTCTTCCCCGGAACGAAACTTCAAAAATAATCCCCCTGGCCCCCAGACTAGTAGCCAGGGCCCCAGGAATGCGGGATTGAATGTGTGCATACATGATATGGCCCGGGCGCCGGCGGGCGGCCAAGATTTTTCTTTTCGCTTTTCTTTCATGACGTCGGCGCTGTGAATACGCAAAAATATTATAGACACGCGACCTGTCACATGACTAACTCAAGGTTGTCATGACTCATTGTGAAAAAAATATGGCGAGGCGTCTTCACGGCTCAGCCCATGACTCAAGCCTTGGCGAAAATCGCCAAAACAAAAAGTCAAAACACTTCTTCGATCTGCTGTTACCAATGATGGAGGAATCCCTGCAAGGAAATCTGTCGTGAACGTCGCGGGCTCTGTTCTTGCAGGGTCCCGCAATCTGAACTTATTGTAGGTGTTTTATCGAAGTGAAAGAATGATCCCTCCACCACCTCCAGGTCCCCCGCCTGATTTGTCGAGTGGTGGACCTCCACCACCTCCGCCACTTCCCGCAGATGCAGGAACGAGTTCTGGACCTCCAGCACCCCCACCAGCAGCTGCTCTTGAGGCTCCCAGTGCTCCTACAGCTTCTGAACCAGACGTGCTGGCTCCAGCCTCTGATGTGCGATCGTGGGAAAGGCCATGGAAGCCGGAGGAGATGAGAGGCAATGTTGGAAATTGGACGCTGGCAGCAGATTCTGGTCTACTGCTGTATTTAAAAGATTTCTCCAAACGTATGACCGAGCGTATTGCAGACATGACGACGCAAGTGGATGGCCTGGTGACGGAATCGAAACGTACAGAGACTAGGCTACATAACTGTTTCAACGATTTCCTCATGTTATCCAGTGTTCAGTTTGTGGAGAATCGTGTGTACGACTTCGAGGAAACCAAGGAGGGTGATACAGTTTCTGGTACGGCTGAGGAGAAGCCAGAAGAGGCTCCTGCTGACAAAAGTGGCGAGAGTCAACCCGAGGAGGAGAAGACCAGAGAGCAGAGAGAGGCTGAACTGATACCTCGCATCACAGCCGCACTGAAGCTCGGTATCGATGT